TCTGCAGTTTCCAGGTAACCCCCCCCCCAGAAAAAAACCCAAGCAAGCCCTCCTTTAAATCCTTTAAAGCACACCCAGGGTGTTGCAAAGGATGCACCCCCACTGCTGCCGACACTGGACCATCCAATGCTGGCTGGCTCCCATCTCATTTCTTTTTCCCGTGGATTTTTTTCCCCCCTTGACCTCAACGCTGGGTCCAACCACTCCGGTGGGATGTGGCCGGAGGGGAGTGGGCTGCAGTGATTTATCCTTGGGGGGGAGGGCTTTTCCTCTTCTCTGGCATTGCTCCCTGCCCAAATTTCCTGGTGTTTTCAGCCAAAGCCCTGAGCAGGGATGCAGGTGGATGCAACAGGCTGTGAGGGAAGGGGAAACTGAGGCACGGCCAGCTCACCTTGCGTGGTGTGACCCCCCCCGTGCCGAAAATCCCCCTCCCAAAAACCCACCCTATGCTCCCGTGGATGCTCCTCTCCCTGAATCACAACCCTTGGGGAAGCAGGGTCCGATCCCAGCAGGGCTGGCTGGGGTTTGGCTTCTTGCAGCCGGGTGGTGATTTAGGGACGAGCAGGGGGTGAAGCATCTTACCCCCCCTGCACCTTAGGTTGCAAATCCCCCAAGACACCTGCAAGGGACTCTGATTTTTAGCAAAGAACCCTAATTTTTAGCAAAGAAAGAACCCTAATTTTTAGCACAGGGCCTAATTTAGGACCTTATTTAATGGATTAAATTGGGGGGGGGAGATGCCCTTTTTGGGGTGCCACCATCCGTAACCCTCACGTTGGCGCCGGCAGGAGGGAGCCTGCACAAAGCTGGACGAGGACATCCTGGACATCCCCTTGGACGATCCCGACGCCAACGCGGCGGCCGCCAAGATCCAGGCTAGTTTCCGTGGCCATATGACCCGCAAGAAGATCAAAGGGGGTGAGATCGATCGGAAAACCAAGGACGCCGAGTGCGCCAACAGCACCCGCGGCAGCGACCTCCGCAACGGCGACTAGGTATGCCCCAAAATCTCCCTTATCCCCCCTCGCCCAAAATCGGGGTCATTTTTACAAGGCTGCTGCTCCGAGCATCCTTCCCCACACCGATTCGGGATGGAGAAGAGGGTTTTCTTCCCAGGAGGTGAAAGCATGCAGGCAGCGGCAGGCAGGCAGCCCCTGCCTGCCCTAATTTTGGGAGCGCGCCGTAGTAGTTAGCATGGGAAGGCGAAGCCCTAGATTTGAATTGAATTTCTCCCTTAGCAACACCACCCCGAACGCCTCGCCTCAGCACATGCTATTTTTAAAAGCCTGTGTCACAGTCTCCTGGCAGGAAAAGGTAAATTTAAAAAGCACCCACAGTGCCGAGGCCGCGTGGCATCGGGGCCCGGGGGGGCCTGGTTGTGCCGTACCCCATGCCGTGCCGGTGTGGTGAGCGGGGAACAGCCCCGGCTGCCGGGAAGGCCAGTTTGGGGTTAGCGGCAGGGAGGTCTTGCTGCCGGCACGGCCACGTGTCTGTGGCGGGGCTGGTGGGAATGCAACTGGGATGTAGTGGGGATGCAACAGGGATGAACTGAGGATGCAGTGAGGATGTAGTGGGGATGCAGTGGGAAGGAACCAAGGATGCAATGGGAAAGCAAGGGGGATGCAGTGGGAAGGAACCAAGGATGCAATGGGAAAGCAAGGGGGATGCAGTGGGGAAGCAATGGGGATGAAGTGGGGATGCAGTGGGAAGGAACCAAGGATGCAATGGGAAAGCAAGGGGGATGCAGTGGGGAAGCAATGGGGATGCAGTGGGGATGCAATAGGGTTGCAGTGAGGATTCAGTGAGGATGCACTTGGGCATGCAACGGGGAAGCAGCTGCCAAGTGCAGGGGCTGTGAAGCTCATTAGGACCATGAGGTTCGTTATGGCTGCCTCATTAGGTGGTCTGAGCCAGCTTGCATCAGGTAAGACCCCTCCCTCCAGGGTCCTCTGCTCTTGGGGGGCCCGGGCTGGGTGTCCCCCCCGGCTGCTGGGCTGGGGCTGGGTGAGGGCAGGTTGCAGGCAGCAGTGGGAGGTGGGCAGGACAAGGGTGCAGGAGCAGGGCACAGGCAAGGTGCAGGCAGGGTGTGGGTGAGCTGCAAGTAGGGCATAGGCAGGGTGCAGGCAGGGCAGGGGAGGTGCGTGGAGAGGTTGCAAGCTGCAGGAGCAGGGTGCGGGCAGGGTGTGGGCAGGGGTGCCAGAAGGGAGGGGACAGGGCACGGAGAGGGTGCAGGCAGGGTGCAGGCAGGGCACAGGATACAGGCAGGCTGCAGGCTGGATGTGAGCAGGCTGCAGACTGGCTGCAGGCAGGGTGCAGGCAAGGTGTGGGAGCCGGGTGCAGGTTGCAGCAGCAGGATGCAGGAGCAGGGTGCAGGCAGGAGTGCTGGAAGGGAGACGACAGGGCATGGACAGGGTGCAGGCAGGCTGCAGAAGCAGGGGGCAGGGGCAGGGGGGGG